TGATCAAAGAACTATGAAGAAAGCAAATGATAGGCTTGGACGTGATACATTTATTTTGTCCATGAATTTTTAACAAAATTGATTTTTTGCCACATCCCCAATTTTTCTCCTTATGATAACGGCATTCCATGTTTTTCCATTGTTAAGAGTCCGTTGCCGGATTTCTTTTGAGGCATGAAAATAAAAAAAAAAGAATAAACACACACACACAAATACAGACCTACAAGATAGTAGCTCTTTAAAATCTCTTTGAATAGCCATGTTATTCTTTTTTTTACATTCTTTTAAAGAATGGGGACAAAGATTGGATTTAAAAAAAATCTTTTAGTAATTCTTTGATACAAAATGAGAAAATCATCGAGTGATATTTTTTTTTCTTGCTAGAAAGATAGGTTTTTGAATTTTGTGTGAACGCTAAACATAAAAAAAATATTTCAAAGCAAATAAGATATTTTTTTTTACATCCTTTAGCCATTATTATTTGCAAAATACATGGCATAAAACTACACAGAAGGCAATGAAGCCATATTTTTGTTCTTGCCATATTCTGCCTGCCTTTGCTATTTGTTGTTCTGTATCATTTTTATGAAGAAATGTACCTACCGACTTCCTGAACACAAAGTAAAATCACAAGAATCACTGAAAAAAGAATACAATCCTCATTTTTCGAGTTCATGGACATTTTTCATTGTTCATTACTCTTATATTCGTATGTGCCAATTCAGACAAGTTAATCAGATTTATTACACATGAATGGAAACTAAAGGATACGTTGACAATTGTAAACGGCTATCTTTGTCTATTCATGTGCCTCAAGTCTGACAATTACAACCAGTTTAATTCTGTCTTCATGATTGCCTTCAATTTAATTGACCTTAACCAATAAATTCCATTTTTGTTATATAATCAACAAAAAATTCATATGTTAGCTTGGAATGTTCTAAGATTTAGAAATGTTTTATAAAAAAAAACTTTTCATCAATAGGTGGTGCAAGAATTTGTAGGTAGGTTTTTTGATTAACGAGCAGGAAAAAAAATATTGCAGTTTTTCATCTGCCTTGTTAAAACCACAGACATTTAAATTCCATTGATTGTGAAATATGGAGATAACGAACAGTATTCAAGTTCAAAGTCCATTTAGACAATACAAATCGGGAGCAGAGCAAACATGGACCTCCAAAAACATGAGAGGTGGGATCAGGTGCCATGGAGGAGTGAACATCCCCTGCCGACCGGTCACACCCGCCGTGTGCTCCTAGTCATGATCGAGAAAAACAGAAAAAAGCAATGTGTAAATTATGGCCTTACAATTAGTATGAAAAAGTCAGTCAGCATTTGACTTCATAATGGATAGTAAGTTGGAAGTTGACGATTGAAAAAATTGAAGTTATCATGTTTATCACAAATCTTTGTTGTTAGGTTTCTATTAAAGTCTTTTTTAAATAAAATATCAAAATATGAAACAAATGTGTCAGACTCTGTGGTATCTTTTATTTCAAGCTCACTGGGATATATCGAGTCGACATGTGAATGGAAGTAACTATTGTTAATTGATAATACGTCGTCGACATACCTAAATGTCGAGTTGAAGGCAACATCAATTGTTTATTCTTCTCATGTAGAAGTTATTGAATAAATTCTGTTTCATATCAATACAAAAATAGGTCTGCTAATAAGGGGGCGCAATTGGTACCCATGGGAATTTCATCAGATTGTTGAATGACCTGATCTCCAAAAATTACATAGAAATTGTCAATCAGAAAACTCAAGTATCTTTTTTTAATATCAACGTCAGAGTACTGTGTGTATAATCAGAATGCTTTTTAAGAAAAAACTTTTGCAAATGACCAATAACAAGATAAGTATATTTATGAGTTCCATATTTATTGAAAAACAGCTGTCTATGATGTCAAAAAGCCTGGAATGGTTATATAGTGTTGAAAAGTTGCACGTTTTGATGTCATTGAATTTGTTAAAATTTTGGTATTTCAAATTTTCTAAAGTTCCTCGGAGTTTTTAAGTATCAACATCTGATTTACACCACTTCTCGAATATACTGTTGTAAACTACTCCTGAAGTTTCTCCTTCACTGCTGTAAATATTTTAGTGAGGAGTAAAGAAAGAGGCTTGGTGGAACATTTACTGGAACCCGCTATGTATCTTTGTTTGTGAGGATTTTTATGGCGTTTTGGAATCCAGTATAGGTACATGTATGGTACTGTGAAATAATCGTAATTCGATAACTTCAGTTTATCATAATTGCAAAAAGTCTTTGGACTTCGCAGTGATACTGATGGCAAAAGTTACTTTTGTCCTATTGTTTTAGAACACTATTGCTTGTAAAGAAAAATCCTCTCTCTCTTTCTCTCTCTCTCTCTCGTATTTGAATGAATTAAAAGTAATTATTTTAAAAAAGACAATTCAGATATATTAAATAAAATCTTTAAGACACGAATTTAAGATTCAAGTTAATTAAAATTAGGACCCCTATGGGTAGTACAGGGTCACAATAGCGGATCAAAGTTATGCATAAGAATATAAAGGATCGTGACATATATTCCTCATTTAACGCGCGCTATATATTTAAAAATCGTCTTTTCAAGAACATATTAGCTATAATAAGTCATACATGTATTAAAAGAAAAGCATCGCTAGGTAGTTTAAATTTAATTTGTTCGAATTATGACCTCTAGGACTAGGGTGAAGCCACAGCAGGGAATCAAAGTTATGTATTGGAAAATATTGGGGATATGTACTTAATAGGACGTAATTTTTTGTATTCACCCATACCTACAAAAGGAAAAATAAGTCTGAAACCCTAGTTTATTAATATGTGGAGGATGTTAAGTCGTGGATAATGGGCACCCACAAATTCCATGAAAATGAAACCAACACAAAATCTAATAATTCCACAGTAGTGTTTATTCATGTTTGTTCATATTATGACCACTTCTCTCCTGGAGAATAGGTTCGGACCAAAGACATATAAACTATTTAAGAACATAATGTTCTTAATATTACCTGTATTTTTTTTATCTTTCAGGATGACCCACTTTTGCAAAATTTTATTATGCATATACCATGGCCATAACTTGCACAATCTGACTTTAGGCTTTTATATTTCACATATGTACTTTTTAATGTGACCATGCAGACCTTTTTTTAGGGTACCAACCTTTTTTACCTTTAAACCTTTATTTTGAGTTTAACCTACATTTGCAAAAACTTTGTCTTTGCCTATAACTTTTGAGCGGTTGCTGCTAAGGATTTGTTTAATACTAATGTATTTCTTATGACAAGACCTTTCCTTTGATACCAATATTTTTGAACTGATAACCTTGACCTTGAAGTAGGAACTACTTCTGAAAAACTTTAACCTTTGCCTATAATTTTTGAATGGTTGGTCCTAGGGCTCACAAATTTTACGTTTGTATTTGTTATGACAAGTCCTTTATTTGGGTACCAAAAAATGTATTCTTGACTTTCACTATGGAGTTTGATCTTTATTTCGAAAACTTTAACTATGACCTTGTGCTGCCATACGGGAGTATCAGTGTTTCACAAACACATCTTGTTCATTAATGTAAAATAAACATTATTTTTGTGAACACTCATCTCTCTTGAGAGTGCACGAAATGTTTTGTAGTTGATTTATTCATTCTCATAAATTCACGAATCTGAATGAATGTTTCAAAAGAAAGACATGCTAATGACGCATGTTTCATAATGTAACACGATTTTACTGAAAACTCAGTGTTAAACGTAAATTTATTTAAAGGTATTAAACTAACTAAAAAATTAAACTACGTACAATACCAAGAAGATTTCGTTTTCTTTATTCTCCTTTCAAAAACGTTTTCGCTTACATACTTCCTAAAATCACTTTGTCATTATACTCATATGGAAGCAGATGTATAATATTGTGAATACATGTTTTTTAAACATTGGATTCGATGCCGCCATGACGAGCTCTAGAAGTTTTCATCAAGACTTAAAATTAAAAATGACAAAAACTTTTATGCACATTTTAAAAAAAATTATTTATCAAGACTTATAAGTTTGATCTATATAACATAAATTGTTGCATTTCCTCATGTATTTATTGATTGCTCGTCAGTTTTATTGAAAATTAATCGGATTCCATGCCATCGCGCTCTAGAAATTTCCGTCAATACCACGATCACAGATTAACGAAAACGATATGCATTTTTTGCTTTTTTAATCAGTTATAAGTTTTGATTGAATAATTCACTAACGATGTTCTTTTAAATATAAATGATTGCTTGTCTTCAGTATTATTACAAATTGCCAGTATATTAGATCCGCCCACCCTTACCATCACTGCATGCTTTCTCTTATTTGCTATTTCACGGATGTTTATGGGAAACGAAAGACTCTGTGAGTTAAATCTAAATCTTAGTCTACAGATATCAACTTGTACCTTGTGTCATAGTTAAAGAATAATAATAAACTCTTGTGTAGGTGTTTCTGAGTTTATTTGAAAAGTAATAAATAATAAGTTTAGATTATCAAAACTGATGTCCTTTCTTGTTATTATTTATAGTTTACGGAATTATCGCTATATAGCAATGCTCTTCGTCCATTTCCATGCAGTAAAGAATATAGTTGTATAGACAAATGATTCAAGAAAACAAATAATTTCATTTCATGGACTTTCCAATATTTTTAATCGGAATAAAACTGATGGTTATGTCCGATCCTATAGTTTTTACATCAAAACAATCCCAACCAAAACTGATGCAACTTCATCCTTCTGACAGATTCTATATTGCTAAATAAGAATTACTAGCATGCAGATTCAATAGAAACAGATTTACTTTATGTAATATTTTTGTATTTATTGGATTATTATGCATAAAACTTTAACCATTTGATACACTCTCATTGACAGGACTCATATAAACGTACAATTCTGACTAAAATATACAAGTTTTATTCCTACTCATTAAACACAGTTTTATATATGTTACGATTGATGATATTGTTAAGCATGATGTGTGTATCACAATTTGAATTTAGAATTAGTAAACGACTTATGTTTATTTATTTTTTTGGTCTGATTGAAAGCATTTCAAATAATTCTTTACAAAACATACTTTGTACATAAGAAACACACGGACACATGGTTATCTGTTTTATTGGTCCTGTGAGCTGAAAATAAAGAAAAATACAATTCAATATAAAATAATAATAAATAAAAATAATCATAAACAATCATCGGACAACACAAATGTTATATTTACTGAGTATTTAAACATTTAAAATAATTTCATTTATTAACTGAACATATCTTATGTCAAAGTTAATTGTTGTGAGAAACTGGTGACTCTTGGCTTGCTTTTCTCGATCTTCCTCCCGGAAATGGTTTTCAGTTTGACCTTTGCACTTATGTTCACACAAATGAAATATGACAAAATGACTTCATATGTTAGCAGCTACGTATATGAACGCATATGTAATTGAGAAAACTTTTAAAGTGTTTGCAATAAATTTATTTAGAAGTAGTAGTAGTAGTAGTAGAAGTAGTAGTAAAAGAAGTAGTTTAGTAGTAGTATGATAAGTTATTATTTTATTAAAATTGACGACAATCATAAATAAATGTATTCATTACCTAACAACGATCCGTCTAACTGAAATAATATTAATAAGAATTTCATAACATGTTAAGCACTTCAAATTATGTTAATTTCTGTGAAGTCTTTTTTGCAATTACTGAGGATCAAACATATTTAAATTATTCCATTTTCCAGATGCGTTACCTTTTTGATTCTCACAAAAAGACTTGTACAGAGAGTGGATAATTGGCATTTACCTTTATTCTTTAGACTGATGAATCTTTTCCACACTAAGACAGAAACAACGGTTCCTACTACCACAGTTGCTATTACGCTGATGATGACGATAGTGTTCAAATTCACACCAGAGCTTTGATTCTGCTCATCAAACGTACCATTTACTGTTCAAAAATTTTTGAAAATGAATTTAAGATCATCCTTTGTCAACACTGCAATTGTTTTCAGCTACGATTAAATTTATTATGACGTATGGAAGATACTTACAGGCGCGCGCGTTTGTTTGGAGGAATTTTAATGGCAGTTCAAAATGAAAGGGTTCAGACTTATATAAAAGAATTTAATATGAAAAAGAACATGAAGATATTAAGGTCATTTATCTTTTTTTCTCTTGTGTCATTTGTATTGTATTGATGTCATTGAATTAGTCAAATCCTAAAATCCTGAAAAAAAATAGCTTAAGGCATAGATTAACTTATGATAAAATCGAAAGAATTCATGTTTCATTTTTCTAGCAAGTCTGCATATTTTGGCGCTGTTTCCAAACGTAGTAAATTCATATTCACATATAAATCAAAACAAAAAAAAAATAATAATTTAAAAAAAAAAAAAAAAAAAAAAAAAAAAAAAATCAAATGTATTTACTGAAATTTATATCCTAAATAATTCCGTATAAAAAATGAAATGCATGTAAATAACAAAAAGGGCCAATTCTTGTTTTAAAACAATTTTAAAAAATGTTTTAAGATTTTCAAGGGAATTTCTAACTTTTCCAACAGGTAGTGACTGAACATCAATTAAGATTATAGAAGAATTTAACTTTCTGTGGAATCTAAAGATACCTGAAGTCTTGGTAGGAGCTGTAGTTTGCCCAGGAGTAGTCGTATTGTCACTTGTAGAAATAACAGTAGTAGTGGATGTAGAACTTGTAATAGTAGTAGTATTTGTAGTAGAAATAGCAGTAGTAGCAGTAGTAGCAGTAGTAGCAGTAGGAATAGTAGTAGCAGTATCAGTAGTGATGGTAGTTTTATCAGTACTATTATTAGTATTATCAGTAGTAGCTGCACTAGTAGTATCAATATTAGTAGTAGTATCAGCTGGTCCTGGACATTGAGTGATGGTGGTGAACACAGTACTGTCACACTGATGGACGGTGAAGCTGGTAGCGTTCATGTATCTCCCTGAGCTGACGCCCCCCTGATAATCAGCTTCATCACTGGAGGAAACATTAACACCTGAAATAAATAACTTCTTAAGTTGTACAATAATTTTACGAAATTTAATCTTAAGTTATGAAATTTTTGCTGGCAAACTGAAAAGGATTTGTTACAAGTTTAAAAGTGTGACATGTCAGCCCTATTTAGTTCATGAAATTAAACTAAGTACATATAAAACTGTTATTTATTTGAACTAAAGGTCTGTTATTCAAGCTGTGTTTGTACTCTATGTTCAGTGTAAGAAAGATATATATGAGCAAAAGAGACCTAACAGCAATCGAAGTTTTATCTCTTGTATACATGTACAATTGGGATTAATGTAATGTCTTCATTTTTCAAAGAAGAAAATAACAGACTAGAGATAATTTACATAAAAATCTCCATAAAATTTTAAAATGATGATTGATCATAAAAAACATTTTCTGGATAATATGTACATGTAAGTGAAGTACACAGAAGAAAGTCATTACTCTGATGAGAAAAGGGACGACATTATAGTTTCAATTAATTGTTGATGACTTTGATCTGCTTTATTCAAAGCATAGTAGTTATCCTTTTGAAAAGACTGAGGGTAGGTTCTGTGATGATAAACATGGATCAAGAATCACATATCAAGTAATTATTAGTCCCTTATCTTTTATAGATTTTTTGCCACCTTAAATTTAATGAACATCTGTTTCAAGAAGACATCCAATATCGAAGCAAAAAGTAGTTTGGACAAAAGGAGAAACTTCTTCTTAAGATCACCGATTGTGTAATACTTCATTTCGCAAGTTCTATGGTCGATACAATGACCTTGTCAGCAAATACAATTTATCACTAAGTTAAACGCTGACTGACCTTTTCCATACTAATTGTTAGGTAATTATTTACACATTGAATTGTCTACGGATTTTTCCGTTTTTCCCGATCATGACAAGGAGCACACGGCGGGTGTGACCGGTCGGCAGGGAATGCTCACTCCTCCATGGCACCTGATCCCACCTCTGATGTTTTAGAGGTCCGTGTTTGCTCTGCTCCTGATTTGTACTGTTTGAATGGACTTTGGACCTCGAATACTGTTCGTTATCTCCATCTTTCATTTGATAAAATGGAAATCATAAAAACGTGCAGATTTGAAATGGGAGACAGTGGATCAGGACAAAAAAAACATATTGCAAAGTAATATTCACCGGCATTTTATTCAGACCAAGTATAGCACATGCCTCAGTGGTCATAGCTGTTTGACTATTGACCCAAAGGTCTCTTGTTCAAGCCCCGCTGATGGCACTTAATGTTATTTATTGTATTCTTAGACAAGACACGTTTTGTTCATTTTCTCAGTTCACCATGGTGCAATGGATATCGGCTGGGGGTTAACCTGCAATAGATTGGTAAAAATACCGGCCGTATGATTTCACGCCTTTAATTTTTCTTTGAACGAATTTCAAACTTTTCATAATTTCATCGATACGCACTTTCAATATGAATGTTCACATGTGACGCAAAATTAACAATAGGCCATTGCTACAGATAAAGAACACACTTATCTGGGTAAGTGATTACGTGAATAGCTCTTCCTACAATCAACGAAGGAAAAAATAGCAAAAAATTACCAAGAATGAAAATATCCATCGAGGAATTGTACAGCACTGCTGTTCCATATTCTGTAAAATTGGATCCATAAGTACCCCCGTATGTCAGTACGACATAATAATTCCTTGAGTCATTACGGTCTCCGTTGCCTTGCGTGAAAAAGTTCAACATCGTATACGTGATGGCTTTTTCTACATACCGGCGATTTCTACTATAAGTCGAGTTTCCTTGGGTAAGTGTGCTTATAGCACTGATCAAGTCTGGTGCAGTTGAGTATTGGTTGAGCGGAAAGGCGGTTGCGGCTCCGTCACCAAAGGTCACTATCCCTATTCTTATTGCATTATCACCAATAAGCATTTCACTGACAAGAACTTCAAGAGCAGTTTTCATTTCTGAGAACTGAGCAGCGGTGACTGCATCCGTATCATCAATGATGAAGACTATGTCAAGTTTACAAGCTGAAATAGTAAAAAAGTTAATCATATTCAAAGTAAGTATTAATGAAAATCTATAAAAACACACATAATCTATACCAAGATTCAATAATCAAATTGCAAAGATTTTAAACTAAAGAACATTGCCCAGAATGCTCAACTGAGTTTAATGGCCCTGTTGTTTTTCATAGAAAGTCTCACTCACTTTAATTCTTCACATGAAAAACATTTTTACCCCATATTGTTGCTCCACCCTAGCCACACGGGATCAAGAAATAACAAACATAAATCCATATTTGACGTGCATACTTCAATACAAATAAGAAATCCATATTTGACGTGCATACTTCAATATAAATATGAAATCCATATTTGACGTGCATACTTCAATAAAAATATGAAATCCATATTTGACGTGCATACTTCAATAAAAATATGACATGTCCTTAATGTTCTGCAGAAGAATTTTTTCAAGGTTTTTCATGTAAGATTTGAGTCAAGACTTTAGCCCTATCTTTCACCCATCAATGGATAAACTTGAATCCAGACAAGTAAGGAATGCAATACAATTTATTAATGCTTTCATATCCTTTATAATATCTTTATTTATTAATTATTTCTTATATATATATATAATTATATCTATATATATGCATACTCTCTGTTTTCTCCCACTATGAACCTGCACTCACTAGTTACTTTCATAGCACCATGAACGCATCTTCTTCTGCTGTACACTTTAAGTGCATTCCCTTTCTTACACTGGCACAGAACAAGAAACTCCAATTATACAACACATTTAGAAGTATATATATGGAATGTTGTGCAAAAGGAATAAAATTTAGTTTTTAATGAAATCCTCCGGGAAAAAAGAAATTTAATATGATTTAGATTACTGACTGAGGTGTTTTTAAGTTTTAAAAAATAATTTTAGTCAACGTGTTTAATAGTAAAATAAAACTTTCTTCAAATTAAACAGAGCTCTATCTCTTTAATTTATTTGTTCATTTTTACGCATATTGTTGCAAAGAACGATAACTCATCACGCTAGGTTTTTTTTTAAAGTTCAGACAAAGCGAAATTTCTGTAATAGTGTATCTATTTCAAGAACGATTTTAACTCTTAAAAAGAATTTTAAGAACTTAAAAAAAACATAACAAAAACATTATTAAGTTAAAATCAATGTAAAACATTCTCTTTTTTTCGTAATATTTTTATTTATAATTTTTCTCAGAGAGTTTTGATGACGATGACATCATGGCGCGTCACAATTGCATCAAAACAAAAATTAAGAATTTGAGGACGGTGCGGTTTGTATCCAGATAACTATGGTTAAAGGTGCTTGGACAGAGATTTGAAGTTAATATTTACTCAAATATTCTGTATATTTTCATGACTTATATGTTGCTATAGCATTTCATACGAAAATTTGATAAAAATCTTATTTTATCTGGAAGTTATTGAAACTTTCAATTTCTGGACGCGTTTGATAGACACATCCTTGCACTTTCACAAATTTTAACTTTATCCTTGTTACTTTAGAAAAGTAGCAATTTTGTTGTTTATTAATGAAAAATATTAAAACTGTAATGCAGAAATTTCAGAGAAGAAATGTAGAAAGCAAAATCCTCTCACCAGTATTGTCAGTCCGTGCTCAGTGGTGCGTGTAGAGTTTAACAATTGAACACACCCGGTGAAACGTAAACATAAACAACAACATACCTCGTGCCCTGTTTACAGAAACAGTTTACGTTTCACGGGTGTATTCAATTTGTTAAACTCTGTACATAACTACACAACACTGAGCACGGGCTGACAATACTTCAGTGAGTGGGTTTTGCTTTCGCACATTTTTACTCTGAATTTCTGGATTATAGATGTAATATTATTCATTAAAACACAAAAAAATGCTACTTTCTTAAGTATTAAGGATAAAGTTAAAAAATGTGAAAGTACAAGGATGTGTTAATCAAACGCCTCCCGAAATTCGTAGTTTCAATAATTTTCAGATTAAATAAGTTTTTAATTTTATTTTCGTGTGAAATGCTGTAGCAACATATAAGTTGTGATATTATACAGAAAATTTGAGAAAATATAAACTTCAAATCTGTGTCTATGCACATTTAATAACCAAAAACCATATATACTGTATGTGATTTACTGGAGAAAAAGTGGATTAACTAGTATAAATCAGGTTTACTAATTTTATTGTCATATTGTAACTGTATCTCACTTCCATTCTCAATGACCGTGTAGGGTAGGACAGCGCCGCGAGAATTCCATCGGCATCGAAAGCAAGTTTTTTGACTTGCCTAGATAGCCGAGCGGTCTAGCGCGCTGTTCCTGTATTGCTAGGAGACAGATTCCGTAGGTCGAGAGTTCAACCCCGGGCTGGGGCGGAAGTGGGTATCCTTATAAAAAAGTGAATTTCTTTGTGCTTTATATATATATATATATATATATATATATATATATATATATATATCCATATAAAACTTTAATTTTGAATTGGGACCCATCCTACACCTAAGGATATGATTTGAGTAAACTTAAACCTTAACAAACCAAGTATACTGCCTTTTTAGTATCATCAATCATATAGTCCTGCTTTCCTTGAGAAGAAAATTCCTAGAGAGGGTTTTCTTTGTACATGTATTCCTATGCCAAAATTTAAACCCCTCTTCTGGCTCCATCCTATTCCTGAAACCGTGAATTGAACAAATAGGAATCTGCAATATCTCGAGTCCAGCTGTTCTTGAGAAGATTTAAAATAAGATTAACTTTTTATATTTTAATGTAAAACCGAAACCCCTATTGTGGTCCCACTCTACCCCTTGGGAATATGATTTGAACAAACTTGAGTCTGTTCTTAAAACTTCTTGCCTGTAATAGTAAGTTACTGATCATTACTTAATTATATATTTAATTATAGCTTTGCTGTTAGTAAGAGAATTCTGGTTAAAAGCAAGTCTGTTGAAGCAACGTTAACTGCAAACATGCTTATATCATAATGCAATAAAGCGACCATAATTCGATAGGTAACACAACACGACAACGATCGTATCAGTAAATCTTGATATACAAATGCGTACAAGTATTAGCTTTCCTAAAAAGCTTGTCTGACTTGAGCAAATTTATTATTACGTGAAGAGTCAAAGAAAAGCTAAACCCAGTGTAATCATGTTTCGTAGCAAAAGAATTCATTTCATGACTCAGAGTCATGAAGAAAAGTTCAATTCAGTGGCATCAACATAAAAAAGCTTGGACATGAATTTATTCTATATACACTATATTACTTCTAATTTCTTTTTTTCATGGACGTAGGAACCGGGGGGGGGGGGGGGGGGGTCGTGCCCAACAATAATTTTGCCATTTTATACATAGTTGTTTTATGCTTGTATCCCCTATATCCCCTATATCATGTAAATATTAACTTCTGATACTTTTTTATCCTCTATGAAGAATTTTTCCTTGATAGTGTCCACCCTAAACTGAAAATTTCTGAAATTTCTTCCAACGGGCTTGTTCATGCACACGAAGATATAACCAGTGTTTTTGAAAGAAAAAGTTACAACCTTTAAAAATTTAAACAACAATTGGTGAACAATTCTGATGATTAAGAAATGTTTTATTAAAAAAATAAACGTGTTACATATGAGCTAACATCTTTGCAAAAGAATATTCAACATCTATCCTTCACTCTTTCTTTTTAACTATGAATAAATCAAACGTCTGCAATTTATGAATAAGCGAAGATTTATAAACATTCTAAGGTTAGAGAGACTTAGAATGCTTTGAAAATAAACATCCATTACTTAATCTGACAAAGATAATCGACAAGTGTTGACCTGACCAGCTTAATTCCTTCTGCTTTGCTGGACATGAATGATGCATTCTCGAGTGACCAAATGTTATATAACCTGTAATGTATAATGTGATAATAATGACATCAGCCCATTACTATGGGTTGTTTGGGTATTTAGCATGTTTCCTTTACTTCTCATGCTCTCCAATTGATAGTTAAGATAGTATGAAGTTTCCAAGATCAAGTTATCACAAGAATTCTATTGAACGACTTGACCAACAAGCCTTGGCTAAATCTAGTAGGTTGCACAACAGTATTAAATTTCGCTATATATTCTTACCAAAAATGCACAACTTTGAGTAGGTGGTATTAATTGAAAACAAACTTTTGAGAAGTTTCCTTTTCAGATCTTGTAAAACAATTCTTTATAAAGATTTTAGTACCAAAAAATACATAGCCATCCAGCAAGGCACGCAAGTTTGTTTCGGTCGAAGTCGAGCAGGTGCTTGAAAATCAAGTCCAGGGCCTAATCACTCCCCACTCAAATACAGTATATAGAAAAGTCAGCACGCCCTTAATTATAATGAATCTAGTCAATACAGGAAGTTTACATATTGTTTTTCATCTCATAAAAAAATTCAGCTCCAGTCTCGTGTTAAAATGCCCGAATCGGAAGGGAAGATTCAGGAATTATTTTGCGTCAGCCATGATTTGACGTGAACCTCAAGTGAAATACTGTTATGACACCTGCAATAAAACTTAAAATTTTTGCTTGCAAGTATAATGCTATTTTCCCGATCTGTAATGAATATTCAATGTAATAAAGCAAGTTTCATAAAAATCCGTCTCAAGGTAGGAAAAATATTGGCGACACTCGGTGACAGGGGTGTTCGCGGTGAACACGGATTTCTAAAAATATGGCAAAAGTTGAACTGTATGTCATGATCTTGCGCCTTGAACTTTTGTTATTTTTTCGTCTCAAATTTTTAATTAATGCATGCTGATTCACATAAGGATTAAAAATTATTTAATATATGTTTGCTTTTTATAACAGGGCGAAAGAAGTAGTCTTTGTCATAAGGAAGGGGGGTGGGGTTAAAAAGAGCATTGAAATAATGCATATTATTGAAATACCATGGCGTTTTCTGCTTAATTATGATTGTTTTGCCTAAATAATTCTTTTTTCTAACCAGATTTCTGTATCTGTTACCACTGTGTT